TACAATGATGGGCGCTCATACGGCGACCAACACTTTCCAACTGCTCTCCCTGTGCCCCTAAACCTCTCTGAGGACTTTCCTATGGGGAGCTGCCCTGCACCCCTCACCACATACCCAGAGTGACCCCCAGTCTCCCCACTCCCTACCCCTAGTCTTCTGTCAGTGGTGGGTAACACAGTGCGATGCTGATCACTACCTCAAAACTCGCCTGGAACAAAGTGACGCACGCTCTGTTGGGATTTCTAAATCCAAGGATTATCCTAGAGTGCCTGAGCTCAGAGCAAGGAGAAACTTCTGGCAAGAAGCCAGTTCTGCAGAAAACAGAGCTGGAAGGAGGGGAAAGCACAGGGTGAAGGCAAGGGGACAGATGGGGTCTCAGAAACATGCTGGGCTCTGGGATCCCGCCACCCCTAACCTCAGGGCTGCCTCTGAGCTTCTCCGTCACAGGGCCAATGAGATTCCTTCTTTCTTTCATTTATCTGGCAAATAAATCCATTTATTTATCCATTCCCTGGCTGGGGAGGAGAGGGTGTTTTTTTTTTAATTCTTGACTATTTAAAAGGTCACGGGGCTGCGGAGACGACTCACTGGATAGGCGCAAGCATGAAGGTTCAAATCCCCAGCACACATGAAAAAAGCCAGGCACTGTGGAGGGTGGAAACAGGAGTACTAGACCTCACTGGCCAGCCTCCCTCCAGGGTCAGTGGGGACCCTGTCTCAAAGGAATAATACAGCAGAGAATGTCATAGCTGAAAACCTGACACCCTCCTCTGCCCAAACACACACCTCAATCATTCATTCATTCACTCATTCATCCACTCAATTATGCTGAGAGTTCACACACATTAGAGCCTCCTCACACATGCTCTACCACTAAGCTGTATTCCCAGCTCCACAGACACAATATAAAATGTGGGGGCAGGAGGTGGCGGGGGCAGGAGGTGGTGGGGGCAGGAGCTGCAGAGACAGCTCAGCAGCTGAGAGCATGTATTGACTGCTATTGTAGAGGACCTCGTTGAGTTCCCAGCACCCACAGTGAGTGCCCCCAACTACCTGAAAATCCATCTCCAGGAGACACGACACCTTCTCTGGCTGCTATTGGCACTGAACTCACATGCACACACCCACACACAGACATACACATATACACACAATTAAAAATAAAAATAAAATCTAAAACAAAACGAAAACTATTCTCAAGAACAGCCAAGGCTGCCGGGTGGTGGTGGCACACACCTTTAACCCCAGCACTCGGGAGGCAAAGGCAGGTGGATCTCTGAGTTCGAGGCCAGCCTGGTCTACAAAGCAGGTTCCAGGACAGCCAGGACTGTTAACACAGAGAAACTCTGTCTCAGAAAATAAAAATTCTAGGAACATCCAGGGCCATTCTGCCACTCTGGCTGCACATCGTGAGGGTAACAAGGGCCCAGTTACCCTCTGCCCCTGTCTGTTGTGGCAGCCATCAGAGACTCTGTCCCGTTATATCATACTAATCGTCTCCGTTTTCCTAGCATATCTAAAGCTTTGCTTTTTAATCCATCTGGACGTGTGTGTGTGTGTGTGTGTGTGTGTGTGTGTGTGTGTGTGTGTGCCCCCGCGTGTGACTTGAGTTATTTTGCAACATTTATTTGAGTGACATGAAGCTAGGACTGAAATTTTACATTTTCTGTACAACCAGGTGTTGTACATCTACTGGCTGGTCTGTTCCGTCTCCCTGTGGTCAGCACGATGATGACTAACTGCTCCCCCAAAGACAGCCACATCCTAATCCACAGGAGCTGCTAGTGAGAGCTGCTGGTCAGCAGACCCTGAGGCATCACTTGAGCAGAGACGCTGCTCACTGCCAGGATGCAGGAAGGAGGGGATGAGGAGCCAAGCAGCCACTAGATTTTGGGGAATGGGAAGGAAATGGATTCTCCATGCAGCCTATGGAAGGCATGCAGCCTATGGATGTGACTTCTAGAGCAGTGGGATAACAAGGATGCACTGTTTTAAGTCACCAAGTGTCTGCCAAGTTATTGCAGCAACAAGAAACGCAGGCCTCTTATCTGCACAGGGATGCCCACCACCCCGTAGATGCCACGCTGTTCTTGGGCCTGTAACTCTAGCATAAGTCTGCAAACCAAAAATACTGAGGTTTCATTTCTTCCAAACTACCTTGGCTGCCCTTTACTGGATTGTTTTTAGATTTAAAAAGTAGCACATATCTAAAAAATAAATAAATAAACACAGTGTGTGGGTACAACACATTCTAGGCAGAAATCACAAGCTAAGAGTCAGCACAAAAGGGAGGGCACAGGGAAGGACTCCAAGGAGTTTGCACAGTCCCTAGACCAGCAGCGGGGGAGGGAGTTAGAGAGGGCAAGGGTTAGAGGGGGTGGGGGGGAGGGTTAAAGAGGGCGGGGTTAGAGGGAGGCGGGGTTAAAGAGGGCGGGGTTAGAGGGGGCAGTGTGGGGGAGAGAAGAGTGGAAAGGAGGGGAGGTGGGTGACTTGAAGACCTCAATCAACAGGCAACAAAGACAGAGGTCCTGAGTGGCCACCAAATGTCAACTGTCCAGTGATTTTCAGGTCAGAAAGAGAGGAAATCATGGTCAGCAAGGCGGACGGACTTGTTAAAACAGAGCCACGAGTGCAGGACACCAAGGAAGCCAGTGTCCAAGACTAGAGCAGCAGCCGGGTGAGTAGGATGGCAGAGGCACCTTCCAGTCTCCAGCTCGGGCTCACCAGGAATCTGACAGACACAGCGGGGAAGACCATCGAGAAGAAGTGGAGCCCCTAAGGCCAGCTGACCTCGAGTCTCCTTTGGGGAGCACAGGCAGAGCTTGTGAGGGGTCTGGTTATCTGGGGGAAGGCAGCCCTACCAGGCCAGGCCCCACCCAACACAGCTGAAGAACAAGACCCAAACGATCAAACTGTCCTCAGAGCATGACACCTATTAGACTCACAAATTCTCAACCCCCAACAGGAGAGAATCCCAAGTGGCCATAAACCAGGCAGAGCTCATCAGACATGCAGAGGAGAGACACCGCCCAAGTCCCCACCGAAAGCGGAAGGCAGAGCTGTGCAGGTTAGGAGAGGCAGGTGGGGACAAGGTTACAGGGACAGGGTGAGTCCTGCACACCTCTGGCTACCCACAGGCTGGTGACCACCACTAACCATAGTGTTTCATATTTCCAAACAACCAGAGAAAGGATTTTGGGTATTCTTAGCGCAGAGATGGACATACCCACTGCCCTGACCCCAAGATGGCTCAATACAGACGCACTGGAACACCACACCACACCCCATGCAGCCCTTCTGTAGCTAAGAGACGAACTTGAGAGCGAATTGACCAAGACATTGCAGTCAGCCAACAGGAACACTCAAGTCTGTAAGCTGTATTCCACATAAAATAAGGACTTAGTCTGGAGAGACGCCAACAGAAAGTGCACCCTGCCGCCCACCACCCCGAGGGATTCGGCAGACTTTCTGGCAGCCCCCCAAGTAGAGGGGATGCTGCACAGCCAGATTCCACTTACATAAGATGGTCCATTAACGTACATACTGCGGGAACAACCCCAACGGTCTGCTAAGCACAGAATTCAAACTAGGAACTCCAGCTGCTCTGCAGAGAGGGGCCTTCAACGGGGCTTGTCACCAGATGGTTGGGTTCTGGTGTCTGTCCAACGACCAGGAAACGGAGGTCTGCATATCAAGCTGTAGGTCAAAGGGGTCAGTGGGCCACTCACCTATCAATGAGAAACAGGACCAGACTCCACAACAGAACCGCAACATACAGAGAGAACCCTACGCCAGAACTCGGGCCCCAAGTCAGGACAGAAACCAGTCTAAACAGTCCAGATTATCAGAGGCTGGGTGGGGAGGGCAGGGAGAGGCTAGGAAGGGACAGCATGTCCTCCATGGCCACCTGGCACCCCTGCTGTTGGGCAGCCAGAGGGACAGTGGGAGCACAGCAGGAGGGAGTACAATAGGAGGAGGGGAGCACAGCAGGAGGGAGTACAGGGGAGGGGAGCACAGCAGGAGGAGGGGAGCACAGCAGGAGGGGAGCACAGGGGGAGGAGGGGAGCACAGGGGGAGGGGAGCACAGCAAGAGGGGAGCACAGCGGGAGGAGGGGAGCACAGCGGGAGGAGGGGAGCACAGCAGGAGGAGGGGAGCACAGCAGGAGGAGGGGAGCACAGTGGGGGGAAGGAGCAGTGGGAAGAAGGGAACACAGCTGGAGGAGGGGAGCACAGGTGAATCAAGGGAGCACAGGGGGAGGAGGTGAGCACATTGCTCCACGGATTCACAAGCTGTTCATTCTCCATGTACCTGTGTCCAGGGCCCCTACAGCCCTCAGCTGGCAGGAGTCAGATCTGCTCCAGAAACCCCGCAACTACTCAACACCCACGTACGCATCTTGCTGTGCAAGCCATCCTGGCTTCACCAGACTCAGGCCTAAAGCAAAAGGCACTGACCACAGGTCCAGGCCACACAGGAGACACTGGGCCATCGAGCTCAATGACCGTACCGGTTCTTCAGCCCACACACAGCTGTGGACCTGTCACTCACAGGGCGAGGACTGAACTGTTGGAGGCCATTGCCACTGGCATCCCATTGTGACCCCTTTCCTGAAGGGGTCCCCAAGTCACACAGTGGAAGGCAACGGTGCTTCAGTGAAAACGGAAGGACAAGACCAAATGCAACCAGGGCGGCTGCCGGCACATCCAGCGGGCCGACGTCCCCAGGCCCCGAGTTCGCAGGATGCCCCGTCAAGTGCCCTGGATGAAGTCACCCTTCACCAGCAGACACACACTTGGGGAGTTGTGAAGTAACTGAACCAATTTGTGGCTGAAGTCTGGGCGACAGACTGCTGGACCACACATTATCACGCTGTCCAGTGCCACGCCATCATCTTAGGGAGACCAGCTAAATGATTCAATAGGATCTGCCGCAATTACCCCGCAGGGCTGATGAGAGAGGGAAGCAAGCTGCAGGGTAGAGTCAGCTCTCTGGAACTCACCTGAAGGGGACGCAGGTGTCTTCCTGAAGGAACGCCGCTCTGCCTTGGGGCCATGCTCTGGGGGGGTGTCTGAGCTCAGCGAGAACTGGAACTGGATGGTTCCCGACTCCACCTGCTTCACCTGTGATTGACCCCACAAGAGCAACGATGGCATCCCTCGCTGGCCCTTCCGTCAGTGACTCACCAATGACTGCCCAGACCCCCCCTCAAAAAAAGTTTAATCAAGAGAGCAAAGACTCCGGAAGCCACGTGTTCTTAGATCATAAACAAGTAATTTTCTGAGACGAAAATTAGTTGTAGCATTAAAATCCCAGGAGGCCATATTATCAGAGAATGACATTTACCCAGGAAATATAGTTTAAGGTATTTAATAGGCCACAATGTGTATGTGTTTTTTAATTAACATGTAATATTGACTTACTTGCATAACTATAGCCCTGTGGGTTTTAACCCCTGTGCAGAATCACATGACCTGCCCCATCCCTCCCTCGGCTGGTCCAAGCATCCACTGCCTGCTTCTCCATAACCAGGCTGGTCTTCCTGAATGTCATGTGGGCACAATCACGTGGCACATGGCCCTTGAGAGGGGCTTTCTCACACACTCAATCCACACAATGCCCATGGAGACTGACCACGTGTGAAACTATCAACAGTCCGTGCCGTCCATGGTTGAGTCATGCCCTATCACACCTATGTGCCACCGTCCACCCATCCGTCCACTCACTGGGAACACCGGGCTA